ACTATAGATGTAGGCAAATGCTGCCCTGAACAGTACTGTAGTCAAATACAAGACAGTTGGTGTATACACAAAGTGGCAGTGAAGTACCTACTGGTAACTGTTTTTGACACACTTTCTCCAGTTTCTTTCTGCATAGGGACATGGTTGTTTTGGCTTAACCTTATTTTATTCCAGTTTAGTGTGAGCCTCCCCGCCGCTCTGCATTGATTTAAGTCAAATCAAAATCAGACTTTTTTTTTCCAAAATAAGTCCGTCCATGCTCAGACTTGCACTGAAATAACAGGAAGTGTGAATTTCAACTGATTTTAATGCAAGTTTGTGTGCAGATCTGCCCTAGCATATGTTGTACCTGAATGCCAAGGCTTTGTGCAGCATTTTATATATTCAGGTATTTTATACATCTTGTGCCTGCTTATTCTTTGGCTTCAGGAAGGGAATACCTAATCTCTGTTCCTAGCTGTTGAGAGGAGAGAAGACTGGATCACATTTTATTTGAATCCCAGGACAGTCTCCCCCCAGGCAAAAGTGTCCATGAGGTGCACATGCATGTAGCGAGGGTGCCTCTTTTGCCCAAATCAGGCTTGAGCTTGCACCATTCATCAATGGAAGCTTTTTCCATTGTCTTGAATGGGAGCTGAATCAAGCTTGTACTGAGCTAATCAGGCTGATTCAGGTTCCTGCTGAACCTCAGTGCACGTCCCTATTGAATGCTGCAGCCGCAGCCCCCCTCTTCCCGTTCCCCTCCCTCTGGCTAATTAGTGTGCGCATAACCCTCAGACAAAACCCCTGTGCACCTGCACTGCCATGGGAGCACAATGTAGGGCCAGCCAACAAAGCAGCATGGCAGGGACCCCAACTCAGTGAATGCCTTGCTATCCCTTGCAAACACAATGTTCAAAAAGGAGGAGGAGATTCACTTGCCTGGACTTTTCAGTGCTGGAGAGAATGGGCAAGGTCCACAAAAGGGACTTAAAAAGGAGAGAGACAGAAGGAACAAGGCAAGTGCGGGGAGGGAAGAGGAGGAGGAGGGAGGGCCTTCCAGGTTGTTTAATGTGTTTTGCCCTCCAGAGCTCCTTAGTCTACATCTCAAAAGCCTTCAGTGACATCAAGTTGATTGTTTTTGCTGCAGCTATTAAAACTAGCGGCTAAAGAATCAAATGCTACCGTCTTCAGCACAGAACCTTCTTGTTAGCAGGACAAAATGAGCCTGAATCATGCAGGCCATAAAAGGGCCCTTTTTGGCTTTGAGGTGATGATGAATGATTCCTTAGTGGTGACAGGTTGTTTTTTTCTTTCCTTGGGAGGACTTTGGCGATGCGCTCGCTCAGCTTCACTTTTGAGTTTGTACCTCTGGACACGTTTCACCCAGCAGTGGCTGCATTTGACAGGACTTGAAATGATTCATTTGACAAATACCGTTGCTATTCTATTCAGGGCAGAATTAAATAATATGCGTTACGGAAGGAAAAGCGGTGCAGGAGTTGTCATTGTTTTGGGCCACGGCTAGCTGAAATTCGCTGTAGCTTCTATTGCACAGATGTTTGTGCAGAAAAGCATGCATCTGCCTTTGCTACAAGAAGTCACATTTCAAAGCGTTTCTCATGCTAGGCCACTAGATGCAGGCTATCACATTAGCCTATTCAATTCTAGTCAGCTCAGCAGCCCCATGCCAAAGGGAAATGGCTGCCGATCATCATTCAAAATCCCCTCCATCACTTCACAAGGCCCGTGGTTTGATAATCTGGATTGCCATCACTCCCCCCATGATTATCCCTATTTTATAGATGAGAAAACGGAGGCAGTAAGGCCAAATGACTTGCACAGTCATAGAGAGGTTAAGTGTTCATGGCAGTAGCAGAACTCTGGAGATCCTGTTTTCCAGGCCCAGTATTCAGGATACTAGATCACACAATGATTTATTCTTGTTATTGGGATTTCTACTAGAGCTCATAGGGCCCAGGACTCTTAAAATCAGGGCTTCATTGTGCAGGGTGCTTCAGGAAAGAAAACACTATCAATACAGAGGAAAGTACTATCCCTTTTCCAGATAAAGTTCTTCTCAAGGCTCAGCGCCTTTTTGGCACTTAGATATGCGGGTAACGAAGGCCCTATTGGAAAGAGAGGTCAGAACACCAGAGCAACTGCTGGAGGTCGATGGAAAGAGCTACCTTTTTCATGTTTCTCTTAATTCAGGACTCAATCTCTAAATGAAAAACATGACTTTCTGGGGAAGAACTATATTGGCACTTACCACCAGCCAGAAACAAAACAGTCAAGGAGGCAACTGGAAGTCTGACAAGCCACAGGCTGGAGCGAGTCCTTTCAGCTCAAAGCAAAACCCACATTGTTGCATCTCAGATCTCATCCCTTATGACACTTAGATTCTCTCTGCAATCTTTTCCTAGCAACGGTTGCTGAAAAGAGACAGCCTCCTTTTTTCAACGTACTGGGGCTTAAGATCACAGGCAGCATTAGTTGGGCTGCTGATGGACAGATTTTGTTCATTGGGAAGAAGAATAGGAGGCCAGTCCCAGTGGATGTTTTTTCCTTTGCAATTTTATGAAGCCATAAACCTCCCCCCCCAGGAGTAGGGACGGCCAGAAAATAAGAATTCTGCTTAATAAAAAGTCCAGATTTCAATCTGCTTTTTACTTCAGCATCAGAACAACAATTAGACCTTTCAAAATGCATGAGCGCTGTTGTCTTCAAGAATACGGAGGATCCCAATAGCTAGGGCGTTCCCCTTGGATGCAGTGTATCTGAACTATCCAGACCTTCTAGGTCAACAAAAATGGCTGAAAAGTCCCTTGGAAATGAGGCAGTTCCTGGTAGTTTTGATTTTGGTTGGGATGCAACACAGCCTAGGGTTAGAAAGTTAGAATACCAACCCTGACTGCCACTGCATGTCCCTACAGTGATGCAAATGTGTTGCCGCGCCGGCTGAAAAATCCCCTGCTGTTTATGATTCTGAGGGCTAAGGAAAGCTTGCCAGCCATTTTCAAGAGTATAGTCCTTCTGCCAGGCCTGGAGTAGCTAGATCAGCTCTCAGATTTCCACTCACCTCCTCTGGTTTCATAGATATAGGCACATACATATATATTTTCCCCACAGAGAGAGCTAAAACTAAATCAAAGGTTCTGGTGACGTCTGAAGACAGCTCCAAGATGTTCAACAAAGAAATTGATCTCCAGGAAGGAGATCTGGAATATAAATAGCCATTTTTAATTCTTTGAAAACTGGTTTTTGGACCTCCTTTCTCCTGAAGGGTGCATGGCTCGACTCTGCCAGTGCCTCTGTACCACATGGACCATGGGACTGCAATTTTTGCTGAAATTTGATCATCACCGTCAGCCTTGGGAGTGTTTTTTTCTTCTGTTTCCCTATATTGCCAACGCATTTTAATGCTGATTGGATCAATCATCCTCAAGGGTGCTTGAGTTGTCCTTCCCACTAATAGGGTAACTAGGGCAGCAGTCCTGGGTGCATACTGGGGGGGAGATGGTGGAAAAATGACAGCCACCCAGAAGACACTTCTGCCCCAGTGTATTGTCACTGCTCCAAATGCCCAGCTGCCCTATTATGCTCTGCCACCCAGTCTTTGGCCCCTTTGCTGAGATGGTGAGGATGGCATGAACGCATTACTGATTGTGAGGGTGTCTCTTTGTGAAACAGATGTCTGTTCCTGGGGAAAGGGACTGAAATTCATCTAGCAAACCACCATTACCAGTTGGTTCATGGCCAGGTTTATTAAGTACACTGGGGGTTATAACTGTAATATTACACCCAAATCCCAGGGAAATCAGTGAAAATCCATTTTTTACAGTGTGTGGAACCCAAGCCTGAAATGGACAGTTGGAATGGGCCCATCTCTTCTTTTCCTTGGATTAATAAGTTTGTGGCCGGTAAGATAATTGCCACTTAATCCCCAAGCAGTGGCGGACCATGTTAATCAGAGTTAGCGAAGGGAGAGGAAAGCGTTTCTTGCATGGTAGATAGAATGTTATCTCCTTGCTAACCTGCTTCATGATTTTAATGACTTTTTTTCTTCCCATCAGCAGATTGCCATCTGCTGTTGAGCACGAGATCACAGCTCTGTTTGTCTAAATCACCTGGGTGCCGCGGTTGATAAAATGTCACTGGGAAAAGAAATGCAATGAGGTTTTTAAGCATGAGCATCCCTTGTGAGTCACGGGAATCATAAAGCCCCAAACCTTGCAGTTTTCCAGCTGTGGCATATTGGCAGCTCCTTGGTTTGTAAACCGAACGGCATTGCAAATAGAGATAAGGGCAGAGGAATTGCCACAGGGAGACAAATCTCTGGTCCATTCAGTCAGATGATCAGTCTCTGGATGTCGTGGGTTTGCAACTATTTTGACTTGCAAATAGAGCATTTTGGTCAAGTGTCACTTTGAAATTCAAGGTGAGCTTGAAATCTGCTTCCCCAGGAAAGCAAAACTTGCCAGCTGGAGTTGATGTGGCCTGACCATACGTCTAGGGGGCTGGGTTTCCCTGGTTTCTAAATCTGGATTCAGTGTCTTTCTTGTACAGAGAATTAGCCCCAGTTCAGTCTTGGGTAGCTGGTACACTGCATTCAAACCAGCTTAGATAGGCTTATTTGTTACCCAGGGGTAACTGTGGGGCTGGGCCCACAAAGAAGCTGTTAGATTCCTCTGTTCTTAGAAGGGGTTATTAAATGTTCACTACTTGGGGCAATTAGGGTGAAAACAGGGACAGGAGTGCAGGTCAATGTTCAATAATGAGCGATCCGGGGGGGGGGACATGAAGCAGAGTGCACTGACCAGCGCCTACTGTCCCTCGAATGAGTCCAAGGAGCCAGCGGACACTGCCCAGTGAAACTCTCCCTAGAGACGTGAATGGATCAGGGCCAGGAAGGTGGGCCCACAGTCACCAGGGGTTCCTGGCCAAAGCCTCCTTCCTGGTCAGGTAGACGGTCAGTTTGGCAAAGGCCAGGAAGAGCTTGATGAGGAGGTCCAGAGACCTGGTGTGGCCACAGATGGAGTTGCAGAAACAAAAAGGAGCAGCCAGAACCTCAGCCAGAGGATCCCAAGATGGAAGCGAAGGGGCTGCAACCCGGTGCACTCATGGTAGGTGTGCCCCCAGGTCTCCCTCTGCTGCCAGAAGGGGCAGGTGTCAGGGGTGTCCATAAAATGTGCCAGATACATGCTCATGGTGATGGCTCCAGGGAGTAGCTGCCAACTGAGATCCTAGGCAGAAAGGCTGCTATTTACATAATGGATCTTACCCCGTTTCAAAGCTGGCATGGATTTGGCCATGGCAAATGGTGTACTGACACAGGGACGGTCCGAGCCCCAAAGAGCTTACACTATAAACGAACAAGACAGACAAAGTGTTGAAGGACAGACCCTACAAGCAAGATGACGGGTGGGACGGTGAGGAAGCAGCACATTAGGGTCACTGGTTTTCAGTTTGGTTTCTTTTTGGGGGAAGCATTAGCAAGATGGAGAGAAGAGACAGCAGGGAGGGGAGAAGGGTCAGTTGGGGTGATGCTGAGCTGACGAGACTGAGAGGGAGGGAATAGCCAGGCAGCCCAGGGCAGAGTGTGTCCATATTAAAAAGAAAAAAATGTAAAAGTCCTGGAGCACTGATGACGCTACAGGCATCTGAAGGTCCCTGTCCAAGCTGCTGGTTTGTGGTCCTGCCCATTTTGTTTCCAGCTGGCTCTTTCTAGCAGTTGTGCTCTCTTTTCCCTGAGATGACATGGCTGAAGACAAAAGTGGTGCCACTGAAACATGTGGGAGAATCACAAAGTCATAAGGGTGGGAGGGACCTCAAGGGTCATCTGCCCCAAACCCCTACAAGAGGGACCCATGGTGCTGTTGCAGTAGGGTCTGCTTTAGGGGAGCTTAGCTTCGTGCATAGGCCACTTCCAACCCGGCTCGAGTTGCCGGATCCACAGTCATTCTTCCCTGCAGTGCTACCGTGGGGCTTGTCCTCATCACCCATCCACTGGCCGGACAAAAGCCCCTGCCACAGAAACACCCCTGAAGCCCTCCCAGCTCTATGGCTTGGATCTGACCCAGGGGCCTTAGGGTGCCACCCCCTGCCCTAGGTGAATTCAGGAATACTGTTTTCTAATCAGTCCTGACCGGGGCTTATTTATCTTCCTCTTGAAAACCTGCTGTAAAGGAGATTGCAACCAACTGCCCAGGAAAGTTGTGCAAAGCTCTGGGGCAGGTCTAGGACCACAGGTTATGGATGTAAAGCCAGTCTGATCTAGCCCCGTTGTACAGGGCTGGATTGCGTGCAAACCCAGAACAGTAGCACCTACCTCAAGCCTTCCTGATGCTTTTATTTTTTAACATTGGCTTAATTTTGTTTGCCTTCTGGTCAAGGAAACCTGACATGTTTTTCCCCGCAACCATGAGAGCTAGGAACTTACCTTTTAAATTGCTTAGAAGTGAGGTTTTTGAAGGGAAAGTGCAAGCCCAGGGACATAGGTTTTAATCCCCCCCATTGCATTGAGACTTGCAAACCAGGCGTGAGAGTCATCAATGTGGAGCAAGGGCCCTTGCAGAGTTTACAGCACAAGAGGTAACATGTGCATGAGGCAAACAGGCAGGTGAGAGGAAGAATTGGTCACCAAAAATATCAGCACATGCACTTTTCCTGGCCTGGATTCCTGTGAGACTCAAGTTCTTTGTTCTGGTGCCTAAATAGGAGTTGCGTCTTCTTGAAAATGCAGCTCAGACTGTGAGGTGCTGAGTGTTTTGTGAAAACCAGGCCATTCACCTGGGAACGCACTCATTTTCCCATCTTTAAAATGGGGATAATGACACCTAATTACCTAGCTCACAGGAATGCTGTGAAGACTAATGCTTTGCCACTGCAACACAATTATTATTATTACAGCTCTCAGACTAAAACACAATGGGGATTTACAGCCATGGCCTCAACCCCTGCAGTTTCCAGCAGCTCTGCACGCTCATGCTCTGGGCAGCTGTGCTGTTGGAGCAGGCTTTTATTTATTTTACATCTTCCCTGTTTGGAGGGAAGGGCAGGATGCTTATGTCTTAAGTGAGTGTTGTGGTCAACCCTGGGAAGCCTACTGAGCCTGATGCCAGTTTAGCTTAATTGAGGCAAAAATCTGATTGGGTCCTCTGAGTGGAGGATGTTTCCAGCTGAGCAGTGCTAAAGAGAGGAGGGGTTACTATAAATGTGGGGCATTTAGCAGGAAGCAGATGTTGAGGGTAGGGATGGTAAATTACAGCAAAGCCTTTTTTTTCTGTAGTACAGCTAAATTGGGAGGATTGTGACTGGTAGGGTGAGAGGCATCTCAGTGAAGGGAACTGGAGTGTTAATGCGAAGAGGCAGCAGCCTTTGAGGAAGGAGGAAAGTTTCTGAAAGCAGAGGAAGGGAAAGTGGCTTGGCAGTATCTTGCAAAGAGGCTGCAATGTTGCATGTCCCTAGGGGACCGGCAAGCTTGGGTCCTCTTGCTGATGGCTGCGGCCTCTCTGAAACAAGCTAACAGTGCTTGAACATAAAGCAAATGAGTGTATTGTGTGGAGAGGTGTTATAGATCTGACTCTTGTGACTGTTTTATAGCCAAATGCTGTGAAAGACAGACTCTTCTAATCTCTTCTTGTTTCTCAGAACAGCAAATAAGGCACCTACCTCTTCTGACTCACCTGAAATGCTTCTGGTTGGGAAAGATTACACAAGGGAAAAGATGCAATACTTCTCTACTGTGATAGATCAGGGGTCTAGTCAAGATTGCAAAGCCTTTATGCTTGGAGCGGTACAGTGGAGTAGTCTCTGTATCAATAGTAGGTTGAGAAGTAGGAGGTTGCTATTGTGGGATCTCTAAATCCGCTAGGTCTTAACCCTCTTTGTACCAGGACCTGTCTGTAAACATTAATGGCCAGTCCTAACACAGTGACTCTCATTCCTGACCCACTGCCCCTGGCCCCCAGGCTGGAGCCCCCCAGTGTGTGGGGCAAGAGGTGTGTGTGGGGAGGTACGGGGGAGCCCAAGCAATCCCTTGCAGGCTGGAGCTCTGGCAGCCTGGAAGGGAAAAGCTGTGGTTTCCCATATTTTTCTCTCTCAAAGGAAAATCCATTTTTAAAAGTTTGATCCACTTTTAAAACTTGTTCATGACCCTTTCATATTCTTGCAACCCACTTTTGGGTTGTGACCCATGGGTTGAGAGCCGCTGCTTTAAATGAGCTGCATGATGGAGTTCAGTGAGTGGGGTGGCACTGAATGCATCTGTCCTATGTACTTCCTTCACTTTTAATCATCCGACTGTAACAGTGAAATGTTGCTTGTTTTCTTTAGCTTGATTTATTCATGCATTCTGAACCTCTTGATTTAAAATTGTTTCACTTTTTTTCTTCCTCTTCTTGAGACTTGCCTATTGGACTTCTCTCTAGTGATGCAAGTTGCTGGACTCCGAGAGAAAATGACAACCCTTTTGCTGTAGTGAAGCTTCCCAAAATCTCTTTTTTATGGAGGAGGAGGAAGGGAAACTGAGGCAGGTAGAGGGCAGATGCTTTGTCCAAGGGCAAGGAGCAGCTTAGGGTAGAGCAAACGACAGATCCTGGATCTCCTGACTGTCTGTCAGTCAGATCATGCCGATGGATTCTCCCACTGTGGGCTTTACAGCTCTTCCTATAATTGCTGTGTTAGTTCATCTTCCTGCTTTTGCCTAGTGAGCCTCTTGCTCCCATTTGATCTCCACCAGGAGCTGGCACCTCCACTATCTCCAATGTAAGTCCTCCCGACAAAGAGTCATTCTTTTTCCCTTGGCAGGATTGTGCTGGGTAAGCATTGTATAACTCTGTCCCAGTTCCAGTCACTAAAAATAGTCTTTTTACAAAGGATCCTCTCTCTAAGATCCTAAAGTGCTTGCAGATGTGGAACAAGGGCAGCTTACTAGCAGTGCTCACCTGCTCTTTGCAGGACCTGGCACTGAAGTACAACTCCTGGGGAGCTCTTAAGATGGTCCCTGTAAACCTATCAAGACATCTTCACTGGCATGGATATAGTGACTCAAATTCAGCTGCCTGGCCATGCAATTACTCTGGTGTTTCAGCTCATTACAGCTTCACTCTGTTAGCAGCTGCTGTTGATTTGATGCTTTGCTGAAGAGGTCAGGCAGAGCATCTCTCCCCCAACTACATACCACTAGCTGATGCAAAGGTACAGCAGTAGTAAAAACACCAACAAAGCCAGGGCTGTTGCATGCCCTTCCTTAAATATTCACCCTTGAGTTTCAGTGCCTTTAAACACTGACAAATGACAAGCTCTGATAATGATCCAGTTTGGAGTCTACCTTCTAGGAGAAGCCCTGGGTTCACTGTGAAAGGGTGTTATCAGGAGTAGTTAATCACCAATTTGATATTTAAAGCTGACAGTAAAGTCAAAAGAGGTCAGTGCTCTAATGGTCATCAACAGTCATAATGACCAATTTCCCCAGAATTATTGTCAGTGCACACTACAATCAGTGGCTCAGACCAGCAATCTTTTATTTTTAAATTGGAGTCAATATGCAATGAGCTGTATTAACAAATGAACCCCTACCTGACCGCTTGCAGCTCGCCTTCTAATTGGGAGATGAGTGCAGCTGTGAAAAATAGGATTATAAAGAAGGGGCAAAGCATTTTCCAGCTTAGACAGCTCCTGTGTTTTAGATATACGGTTTTATGCATATGTTAAACTTTTGCCTATGGACCATGAAGGTCCTTAAAGTGAGGCCCCTCCACTAAGTATGTGACTCCAGGAGGTCAGGGGTAGATAGCCCGGTCTGGCTGTAGGCCCTGAATTGAAGGCAGATGGGGGGTGGATAGGTAGGTGCTAGGGCTCGGGCGCTGCTGCGGCTTGTCCCCACAACACCATAGGGATAGTGTCCACAGCTGAAGCCCTCCACTGCTGAATGCCACTGAAGCTCCATGTCCATGGGCTGGATCTGGCCTGTGGGCCATAGGTTGTCAACCTCTATACTAGCTGGTTAAATTCAGTCCAGCGATCCACTAGCAATTCCTTCTATGACTGTGTTTAGCCCAGACTGGGAATTAGGGAAACCCTGGCTATTGCTGTGAGGCATCACAGGCTGCAAAGCAGGAACAAAACTTTGTGAACGTTTTTGGAAGTCTTCCGGTCAACCCTAGATAATCTGGGAGCTTAAGGGACAGGGAGAAAGGATTGGTCTGTGCCCGCCAGCTTCAGTTCAGACCTTCCTTTTATATCTGTTACCATAGAGTCCTGGTGACCCCACAAAAGTAGGTTCATAACATGTTTGTGTCTTTTCCAGGAGAGTGGTGCTGTCTACAGTCACCAGCTCCAGTTCCCCCATCCTCATAAAACCCCCCAAACACTTGTGCTGATCTCTTTTGCTTGTGTGAAATTGCTCTGGTGTTTTAGTGTGGAAGCTAAAGGAGTTGATTCTGTATTAAGGGAAGATTTTAAGTGATGTTTTGCCTAAGTCTTATTTTCAAAGCAGTTGGGAAAGGAGAAGTTAGTTCCCTTTAAGAGCCACCAGCATTATGGCATTAGTATGCTCTATGCTAGTGAGGAATCTATTATTTATATGTATTAGTATGATCATTTATGATGGCTTTTAGAGCTCACGCCAAACACCCTTGTGCTAGGAGCTGTAGTAGGAGTTGCATAAATACAGAACATAAAGTCGATCCCTGTCCCCAAGACCAGACAACCTAAATATATCCATCCTGGATCTCCTAGACTTCACTCATCATTTCTCTCCAAAAAAGGGACTTAACACATGACCGGGTGTTGACTCTCTGCCTCTAGATTATATGATGTTAAGACAGAGTTTCAGATTCTTTATCTATTAAAGCAAATTCAGTTCCAGGATGAGAAACCCAGAAGAATGAATAGGAGGGACAACAGCGCTGAGCTTTCCTCACGTTAACCCATGCCAAAATGAGGGCTTACTTCTAGGGATGAGAGGGCGATCCACTTATCGTTCAGGTTTTGGCCTCTGCACTCAAATTGCCATATAAGGGGCCAATGAATAAGTACTAGTTTTAGTGAAGTGGATGTGCATGACCAAGAAATTGGACTTGAGACCAGCAATTCATTTCATATAATACCTTTGTTGTTACCGACTTAGGCCAGATTTGGGCGGATGACCTGGAGATGAAAGGCATTAGCAACCCCTAACCGTCAGCCTTTATGTGTTTGGAAACCTAGACCCAGCTGCTACCTACCCTTCCTTGAGTTTAAACACCACTCCCAAGAGTGTTGAAGTCCTCGTTGGCTGCTGGACATGCCCGGAATAAAAAGAGGAGCAATAGGAGTTGTAGGATGAGCCTTTTTTAATCGTTCTGCAGTGTTGTATTGTGAGGCCATCTGGGGTCTCGTGTGTTGGTGTGCAAATGCGAAAAATCCTCAGTTGCTCTGAGGCATTGAGATGGACCGTTTTGCAGTGAGGAGACGGGCTGAAGTGGTAACATGACTGCCTGGGACAAACGGTTCATGTTTCCAGAGCATAAAGGGTCCTGCATTTGGCATGCAAGTCCTAGAGCAGAAGGCCCTTTCTGATGTCCCCCAAAGCTGGGCAGTGTGTTGAGTGCCTGTAGAAACTTTCATTTCCCTCAACTAACTTGGGATATCTCCAGTTTGAGCCACTCTTCATCACTTCAGTGTAGTCCCCATTATCACACAACCACCTTTCCTTGTGCCAGTGGCTGCCAAGAAAGCTAGAAAGACAATCACGCAGTCTCCTGGGAGTCTGCAAGGAGACAGCCAGGCAGAAGGAAAGGGGAATAACTTGCTCCCTAAGCATCCTCTTCAACCTCCTTCCTGAGAATAGCCTCTCTGGCATCCTGCTTTTGGGACATCCCTGAACCAAGAGAGGCTCCATATGGTTGTTCACTAGGCTGCTGAGCCTGTGACTTCAAACGTCAGTAAGGCAGGTTACCGCTGACATGTCTCAGGGTAGGGAGGTAGAGTGAATATGCTTGAGTTTCTCTCTCTCTTTATCCAATGGGTGTATAACTGAAGGTAAACAGCCTCAAGGGCCTTCTGAGCTGCTCCCAAAAATGTGTTTCTAAATTGGGATTAGTCAAACATGCCATTTCTCCTGTTGTGAAGGGCTCTGACTGAACGGTCTCACAGACGGAGCATTCTTCTAGTAACTCCTGTCTACATCTCTTATCGCAACTTGCCTTGGGCCTGGAAGGCTCTGGCCTGCTGCTTCTTGCTCCCCAAAGCTTCTTGCTAGCAAAAGAACGTGGTAAATATGCACAGAAATCAACCACAGAGGGCATGTCTTGGGCTCCATGGCCAGTACCCCTTCACATCTGGCTTATAAGCTCAGCGCCTACCCAGATGTCTAGGGAATGGAAGATGTTGCCATTTGAAGGTTGCTAATATAGAATATATTGGGAGGATGTAGTCCAGTGTCTAGGGACAAGCATCAGCCCTGCAAGCATGATGCAGAGTTTAGAAGTTAGTGTGGAGACCTGCCGGAGCAATACAATACGTGTGTGTGTGTGTGTGTGTGTGTGTGTGTGGAGGGGAGTAATTGTATCAGAAATGTTTCTGGTCTCATAACATTAAGAGAAGAGCTGTGTGGAGCAGCAGGAGTCGACGGTGATGTTTATATGCCAGTGCCTCTTTTCATGGTGCACACAGCACTTTGCCAACCCTAATAAATGAAGCTTCGGACTACCTGGAGGCAGGGTTATCTTCTGCAGCAATCCCTCACCATTGAGGATGATTGTCTTGATTGTTTTATCTGTGTCTGAAGATGGCTGATGGGACTTATCCAGGATCCAGATTTCACTGCAGCCCGGACCTGTGTTTCTGTGTGGGGTGGGTGGCAATGGATACATGATTTGGTTCGTGACGCACTGTTTCCCCTGCTCCCGCTTTTCTATCTCCTGTTGTTGCCGTAAGGTTTCAAAGTACTGAGATCCCTGCAGCAGAGCCTTTCTCCATTTGGGGCGGTCCTGGGCGATAGTCTCCCATGAGCTGAGATCGCTGTTGCAGTGTGATTATAGCTCTCTCGTCTGTAAAGATGAGGAAATGGGGGCACAGAGAAATTTGATTTGCTTGCAGCCGCACAGTGACACAAGAAACACAGTCCAGTGTGGAGCCCAGGAGCCTAGGTCCTCGTCCTCTTCATAACTGACCTCTTCCAAAGCCTCACCGCTCTTCCCACCAAGCACCTTGCTCACTTTTTCTTTGTGGAAACTCTCCTGAGATCACACTTCTGTTCATCCACCAGAGCTGGGGCTTTTCAGCACGGCAACCCTCCCCCCTGTTCAACACTGCCAGATAAGTGACAGGAGCTCATTCGGAGGTGCAACAGGTTTCTGCAGGTCTCGCACCGAGGAGCTTGCATGCAGACAGGAGGAGGATGAGGCCCTTTCACCCGAGTTGCAGGGGTGGGGGCAGAAAAACTTGGAGGCTCGTATGGGACGCTTGTCTCCTGTGAAACACCCGTACCTTCTGCCCCCTCCCTTTTTCACCGGAGCTGCAAGGACCTTGAAAACCTAAGCCAGTGTCTTATGCATGCCCTGATTAAACAGCCTCTGCCTCTGGGCAAAATAACCTCTGCTTGGACAGCTAGATGAAGACATCACTCGTCAGGATTCAGTTCTCTTTAGGTAATAAATGTCTTTCTGCTTTACTCACAAGAATGTCTGAAATAACATGTTCACACCTGAGGACATCTACTGTCTTCAGAGCCACTGGGGGCCCCCTCATGTTCCCCTTCCTGATCTGCCTGCCCCCACCGCCCAGCAGCTTCATGGGGAGATGTATTTTGCTTAGGTTTCCTGGTACAATCTGAAAACGCTTGTTCCCCAGCCCCTGGCTCCTCCCAACATTCATGAGAGCAAACAAACCTAAATGCAGAGAAAGGAAGTCAGACCAGTCAGGTCTGAGGAAGGAAACTGGTTTCACCTTCAAGACGCCAAGGATTTTTCATTACATCCAGCCTGGATCATGGGTCTTGTCTGTCTGTTCACACTCCCATCTCGTATAGTACTCCTCTCTGCTCTCCCTAAGAAGTTCCCCCCTCCTACAGGGGGAAAAAGGCCAGAAAAATGCTCTTCCCATTTCCTTTTCCCATGAGGCATAGCCTTTCCATCCACCTGGATTGGGGCGTCCACCCCCATGCATTGTGAACAGATTTGGGGGTACTCCCTTTGTAAGGAGGGAAGTATGAAAGGAAAGGCACTGGCAGTCTTGAGAGGAACTGAGATGGACTCAGCTGGGATGTTTTGGGTTTGTCCTGAGTTTCTGTCTAATGTCAGTGAATTTGCGGCAGAGTCTGTTGTACTAACGGGTTTGTGGGGCGCCTGAAAGGATCACACCCATTATAACCTAGTGCTTTACTGGGTTCTGCGTTGTTGACGGTTAGGCCACTGGTCTACCAGACTGAGCATTCTGCACCCAGCAAGGACCCTGCATGATGCAGGGGTGGAAATCTGCTCTTCCCAATAACATATCTGTCCCGGCATAAATGGAGCTGGTGCAATTGTTCCCGTTGATTGTGTGTGATACTGTTGGATTTCAGATGAATTTTCCAATAGCAGAGCCATTTACTGCATATGTGTCACCTCTCGAAGCTGGCTTTTGCGGGAGCAAACCTGAACGGGAGCTGGGACATGTGCCTTGAAAAAGGAGGCAATTGCATGATAAGATGGAGCGATGAATAGTTGCCCCCAGCTGCTTCACCAGCATGGGCACATTCTCCGCCACTGTGAGTGGCAGGTCTTTTGAAGCGTGGCCATGATTTGTTGTTTCTGGAAGTCACGCCTCTCTCTGCAGCAACAGGAAATATTTCCATGGTTCTTGCCATGTATTGCATAGGATGAAGTGCCTCTAGCACATGGAGAGGGTGCTGAAAATATCAGCAGAGAGAAACTGCTTAGAAAAATAAATGGACTCGCAGCAGGCACCAGGGGAGAGGCTGAGATGGAGCCCAGCCAGGGAAAACAGGCCTCTGTTATGGGTCATGGCATAAATACAGTTGTATCAATCTGCAGCAGGAACTGAAGCAGAGCTATCGTGTGGGAGAGGGCTTGCCATGTGCCGCAGGCCAGCTTCGAATAAACCGTACTAGTAGCTTGCAGGCTTACGCAACCCAGAAGATGAATCATGTGTTTGGAGCGACCCCAGGATAGCACAGCATCCCCTGCCACTGCCTGCGGCACCTGCAAATCCCCCTGGGACCACAGCCAGGGTCATGCTGAAGACGGACAGGGGCCGGGGCTGAGCTTTTCATCCTGCTAGCTAGCTGAGGGGCTTAGACAACTCCCTGTAGGAACTCTTGGCGGTTCTTCACAGACAAAGATGTTATGAAGCTAACTGCCCTTGTGGTTGCAGGCCCGCTGATGACTAATCAGTCCAACTGCGGATGCAAATCCTGCTGCAGCGGTTACACATGTATGGCTGATTGCTTCTAAATGAGGGTGCATCTTTCCTCCTGGTCCTCTTCTCCTCGATGCTGGCTCTGTGATGACGTTCAAAGAAAGCTGTTGCCTTTTTGATTTGGAGCCGCCAGGCATCACGATCTGCAGCCTGTGTTTCCCACTGTTTATGGTTAATACTGCAGGCAGAATGGGACTCCTTCCGAGTGTCCCTGAAGCACTTGCATTACGACCCTCTGTCACGTTTCCCCATTGTTGGTTCCCCGTAGGAACTAGGAAATACTATTATTTCCATGTTACCTGTGGGGTAACACAAGAGTCTAAGTCATTAGACCAAAGTCACCCAGGTTCTCTTGCACAGAGCGGATAATGGGAGCCTGGTGCCCAAGATCCTAGGCTAGGGGCCAATTACAGGATCATCTTTTCTCTTCTCATCGTGCTTCAATGATAAGAGGAACCCTTAAGAAATTCAGGGAAAAAATGCAGGACAGAACAAAGTTCTGGAAGATTAGGTTTTTGGGCTGTTTACAAGTAACACATATAGGAAGGAAGGATTCTTTCCCTATGAAATGAATGGCCCAGTGAACAATCTCACCTCTGCTGATAGAAATGAGAGATGCTTTGATTTGTGTTTTTGAAGAACTCCTGGATCTGAAAACATTAGAAGAAAGAGAAAAATTAAAGAAACAAGGGGGAAATCAGCATATGTGCTGATGCAGGCAGGCACAGCAGCAGAGTGAATAGCAAGGGACAGGTCTTTGAATCTGATAGTCTAGTGCAGTGGTCTCCAAAGTGGGGTGCGCAACATGATCCATTGGGGTGCGGGAAGAAAATACTAGAACTTCTATTTTTATTTCTATTTCTATAAATATACATATATTGGGGGTGCGTGCTCAACATTACTGATA